TTTTGAAAAGCTTGATAAAATTGCCCTTGAGCTGCCTCTGGTGAGATTTGGTCACCAAACCGAGCCTCCAGTTTATCGTATAAAGAAGCATACGATTGCACTTCACCACTATTATGTAAAATTACATAATAATCTAAAGCTTTGCCCTCTAACGTCAAGCACAACGCACACAGTTTATCCTCATTTGACCACTGGCACATCTCAGCATATCTGGAAAACTTAAAAATGAAAGCTTCCCAACTGCAATTGCCATCAAATGTTAAATTCGTGGGCATTTTATCTAACGATAGTCTTGACCTGGCTGTTACAGGATAAACTGGTTCCCATCCCCCATGAGATAATGGCTCAAACTCATTATCCCCCAATGAGGTGGTCCCCTGTTCTTTCCATAGAGACCCCTCAGACCCAAAATCAGCAGGAATAGCCTGGGGAACCCTAGGTGTGGTAAACATATGCCCATTATACCCCATGCTATCCCCACCCATCACAGGTCTACCTTCTCTAAGCCCAAATACTGAAGTGCTTTTCACCCCAGCTGACCCTCTGGCCACATCAGGCTTTACTGCCCCAGGCTTTGGTTCCAAAAAGTCAAAAAATGACTGATCCAAGGACCTAAATGACTTATCCAAGGACCCTTCCCCTTTAGAAGCTACAGTATGATACTCTAAAGCCTCCTGTTTCCTAGGGAATTCTTCCAAAACCTCATTTGGTGAAAAATCTATCATAATATCTAATTCCTCACCCGTAAACTTTTTACAACATTTTGCAGACAATATGTCGCCTGTGATATCACCGCCAGCCCCCCTTATAGATAGGAGAATAGCAGCAACCTTCTTACTAACCCCCAGAATTTTAACCAACTCGTCCTCAGAAGCAAAATTAATCGCAACCTTAGATTTATTGGTGTGGGGGCCTTTTGTGTCTGACCTATCCATCGCCATTGCCATATTAATAATTACTTATTACAATATTTTTATTACAAATAATTAAAAATATCAGGCAATTACAGGTCATGCAAAGTACCACTTACCTTTACTGTAAACCAATTTCCGAAATAAAAATTATTTTATTCCACACACCTGCACAATACTACAATATTGTGCCTTACAGTAACTATAATAAGCAATATTAAAAAAAAATATCGCTCTTTGAATTATGCAATATAAAAAATATCACACCTCTTTCTGCCTGAAAATAAGCAAAATTATGAAAATATCACTCTTAAAAATTCCTCTGCAATTCTTTTTCAAAAATTGCTAGGTTTTGGAACAACAACCCAGCAAACACCCGACGTTGACCCAACGTTGGATCAACGTTGAATTTTGGTCGCGACGTCGGTGACCTTCATACAACGTCAAATCGACGTTGAATCCCCGACGTCTAACAGACGTTTCATTTTGACGTCGACTCGACGTCGGGTTTTGGTCGGTAATCTGACAATAGGTGAATTTAATTTATGAAACCAATATATATATAAATGAAAGCATAAACAGCGACAATTTTAAGTTTAAGTTTAGAAAGGGAACATTATATATTTATTTTCTCCATCAAAACAACAGTATCACGTGGGTGGCTAACGTACGATATTCGATAGGTGGCGCTCTGTAAACGGATAGTCGCAGATCAGTATAAAATATATTTGCTCTATTTTCGTTTAAATAATATCTTATCTCCTCGAATTAGTCTAAGAAGTGTTTATATAATTTACAATGAAGCTGTTATCATTTTTGAGGGCTTCATTTTATTGTGGTAAATAATTTAGTAAATTCGAATTTGCGACTTATCGGATTTGAAATTCAATTGTATTGGCGGACAAAAAAACGACGGGTTGACAGACAAAGTTGTATATTCCAAACAAAAGAAAAAGGTAGGCAAACATTATATATTGTTTTTCAATGCTAATTTACCGCATGTTTGCATGGTATCGATGGTTATTTGATCATTGGAATGTTTGACTGGTAAAACTTAATGTAACGTGATTTCGCGAGATAAATATTTTTGTTTCCACGTAAGAACACTTTATCATTTGCTATAGAACAGTCTGTATAATCGGATCATTTTTCTCACACTATATCGCCATGCTAAATAAATGCACAATCAATGGTAGGAAATATCCTAGCAATTGAAATCAATAAAAAGTTAAATGCAGTACGTAAGACTCTTATTAATATTATTCAAATGCTGGAAATAAAATTTCCTCATTTCTTATCAACATGAATTTCCCTTATATGAGGGGCCAGTCATTTACACATGTATCAGATGCAGTTTGATTTTGATATCTGTGTAGTTGTTAAACTACTCGTTGTTAATTGAAGTACTTTACCCATACTGTTAGCATACCATGTGTTTCTTATATTAATTATGATAATGACTCATGGCATTTGATACATGTAAATGATACGACTTTGGTAAGATATATCTGAAAGCACATTGTATTTGACTAGCTATCTTTTTACTAATGTAATCAAACAACATATTATCAATCAGAAAACACATTATCATAGTTATAAATCAATAAAAGTAATAGTTTGTTAATTAGCCTGCTTATCAACAAGTTGTATGTATGCTCGTATCATAAAACGTTTTTACACTAAGCCAGTCTGTCCTATATACACTTAGCAGACCAGATCATGCTGGGCAAGATGATATCTATAAAAATGACAGTAACATGTGAATTTCTTTGATGTTGTTTGAGCATTTGTACAAATTTTTAAGTACATTGAATATAAAAAATAACAATATAAATTTTTGCGGGAGTAGAATTAATTTCATTTTGGTATTTGTTATATCAGTTTTTCATGCGCTTATGAGTTAACTAAGATTAATAGTAATTGGATTTTGCCTATTGTATTAGACAAACATCCTTCCACCACATGGTTAAATTCTAAAACGATTATATTTCGTCTTTCAGATTGTGAAAATTATGATAATTCAACATGACTGTCAAAAGTTCAGGAGGAAGATGAAAATATTTAGAGGAAAAGAAAAATGAAAACCTACCAAGATTTTGTGACAGGTATATTTCAAAATATTATAGAAAATACAGTGATCTTATTACCCTTGATTTTATAATGAAATTCACGAAGCCATTTTTATCAAAATTAATAGATATATACAGTAGGCACACGAAACTACATGGTTTAAACTAAATTAAAAATAATAAGTACCTTTTTAAGTAGTTTGTTAGAATTTCGTTTAATTATAATATGTATAAGTGATTTATTTCTTGCACTTGTAACTGATTATTTTATATTTTTTTTTATTTCAGAAAGTGTGATGAGATCTCAGGTTGGAGACGGTAATGATACGCTTAAAGTATGCCCCAGATCGACATAGTGTAGGAGCACGAAAGAAGCTAGAATGCTAATGAAGATACATGAACATTGCTATTTATAGTTATAACAAAATATTCAGAATATTGTTCCATTTAACATTCAGATCTAGATTCAGTTATAAAATACAAAGACAAATATACAATCAGTGAGTTGGATAGATGATTGAAAAACTCAGAGTGATCAGTTCAGTGGTGATATAAGAAAAGACACATGCATGGATGTTTGCTATATAAAATGTCAGTGTTAATATTCAAGAAGGATTACGTTTATCTTATTTCTAAAACATGCTTAATTAATACATGAAGCGTTATTAAAGTACATACCGTCAAGTTTAATAGTTACAAAAAAATATTATGTAAATCTTGCATTTGTTATAGTACCACATTTCTTGTTTTGTACTTGTGATTCCGAGTATACAATAAATTGCTAAAATTATAAGAATGCTTATTTATTAACCCCATTAAAGAGCTTCAAAATGAAAAAAAAAATCATATTCCAAAAGTTTTGAATGAGGTTAAATCATGGTCAGAAAATTTGGTCAGATAAGGTTGGCATATGGTCAGATAATGGTCAGAAAAGGTTGGATTATGGTCAGAAAAAGGTTGGATTATGTCCAAATAATGGTCAGAAAAGGTTGGATTATGGTCAGATAATGGTCAGAAAAGGTTGGATTATGGTCAGAAAAGGTTGGATAAAGGTCATTTTATGACGTTGTATAGACGTCGGTTTCTGACGTCTAAAAAACTTTCAAATCCAACCTTCTGCCAACGTTTACCCAACGTCAGGGTCTAACGTCAGTACAACGTTGGTACAACGTCTTTTGTTTGCTGGGAATAGAAGAAAAAAAATATGATACCGGTATCAAATATCCTAATTAGAAACCACAATGGTACAAAAACCTAAGTGGGTCCGAAGACTGGTAGCGTCTTAAAAATACAGGCCGCAGCTAGAATTGAATCACCACTGCCACCATTATAGTAAATCTATAATGGTATAACAAACTTACATAGATGTTCAAGTTCTTTGGATACTTTGACACACGGATGTAATCAGATAGATTAATCTGAGCAGTTTATTGCTTGTCCATTCAACAGGAAACCAGGATGTGGACTGAGGGAATACTGGGACGTCCCATCTCACCAAGGTCAAACACCACTATATTTCGGTTAGGTCAGTGACCACCACAGCAACTACGATTTTTGTACGGGAACTGCTCGCATGCCAGTACACAATATATTTTTGCACTTTATAAATTAAGTTCGCGAAACCACTACCTGTTTTATTATATAAGATCAGTTCGCCAAACCAGTAGTTCGACGAAACCACTCTCACCCTGTTTCAGTATATATATTTCAACACATTGTTTGACATTGAATGTATTTAAATCTACTTTCAAACCTACCAAAAGTCAGACTAATTTACATATGTTTTATACAGTGATATACGCAATCAGTTTTCTTTACTCGCAAACTGCTTGTCTACATTGTAGTTCGGAAACTGTCAACCTGTGTATTTGGTGCATTTTCAAAATTATATCCTGTTTAATCTAAATCATTGGACTTATTTAGACTAAACTTTTAGTTTTTTTCCCACATTGATACAAATACATAGGATATGATATTCTTGTTGTTCTAGACAATTTTGAGAAATTATTTTTTAGCCAACCTCTCCAAAATGAAACGCCGACACAACGATAAGGACAGCACCTCCAAGAACAATCAACAGCCCATATTTGTGAGACAGAATATCATACACTTGCTTCTGCACAACTTTCCGCCAGTTTGCATTCTCCATTTCTGATGCTTGGTCATCAATAGACACAAATACAGAAAATTATTGTTTATTTGCAAACGTGTCTATGGGGGCTGACATCTTTACACTGAATCACGGGACTGCCACGTGAATAAATGTCCGTTTCTTCCCGTACCGTACCGTGCTAAATTGAATATTGGCGCGATTTACAAAAAAGTCACGATGTTTTTGTTTACACACCATTACCTGTCAACTGTCAACCATTGATAATTCCTACACTGAGATTTATGCTAGTTAAAACTATTAACAAAATAACTGTTAACTCACGATAAATGTGCAATATTCATTCAGTCCAGAGGCATTATTGTATACGAGGGGTGTTCGGGAAGTTTAAGGACTTTTGCTGTATTCTTTCCTTAATGGTGCGTTTTTATCCATATTTCACAAAATGTAATTTAAATATGTGCTCAATATGTAGTATAACGCTTATTAACAAGAATAGACAAATACCGCTCGAAATTTGTTTCTATAGGAACCGCATAACGCATACCCGGAGCACTCCGATTTTATCGTATTTAAGATTATGGTACCGATATATTTAATTGATAATAATTTTCTTAAATGTCAATGGATAACGTCACGAAAAAGCAAGAGCGTTAAATATAACGTCAACGTCATTTCCTGAAAATTCTACTCGTAAATCATTACAATTGTTTGAATAACAACGGTTTTAACATCACTGGTGCTTACACAAATCAAGAGAAAAATGACGTCAATAGGCGACGTTGAAGTCAGGGCAATCATCAAGTTTTGTATAGGAATAGAAAAGACACCAACGGAGACGTATAAAATGATTCAAGCATCTAGAACAACAAAGAAATGCTGTGGATCGCTAGTATTCAGACGGCATGACATGTTCCCAACGGAAGAGAGTCAATAGAGGATGCCCGTACCTCGCGTCGATGGATTTGCGAGTTTTTCCGGAGATCAAAGCACAGCTGAGTGGTCGACGCTTTGATTCCGGGTTGGAATTACAAATTGAAACCTAGAGAATAGTTTCGTCATTCGACAACATCTGGTACGAGGACATGCACGACAAATGGGTCAAGAGGCATAGAAAATGTATCGCTGTGAATGAGATTACGTCGAAAAGTGAGTCGATATGACGATCGGGGAAATCTGACGTTAACATATTTAGCTAGCATGCTCCGGGTATGCTTCGGTGTATGTTTTGTTTTATTTGTAATTTATTTATTGTTTAATGTATTTCATTGTAATTTTTACAGCTGGCTGTAAACGAATTAAATATTTTATGGTGTTTTTCTTGTTTTTCAATTCCAATTATTTATCAAACTACAGCAAAAGTCCTTAAACTCCCCGAACACTCCTCCTACTTACAAAATATTGTTCACTAAAATTAAGCAATTTTCTTTGAATTATGTAGACTTAAAGCGGGTTACTTCTCTCTTATTTATTGTTAGTTTTAAACAATATTTTATTTGTTATCTTTTCACTAACACACTAGATTACACGAAGACAAATTACGGATTACCTAGGAAGCTGAAAACGCTTTATAAAAAAGTATCTTCACACTGCAGGAGTAAATGAAATCCAAGCGTAAACTACTGACTGGGTTATGTTTAATGATTATCATTTTTAGAAAGTAATCATCAAAAGTAGTCCATTAGGACATTGATCGCCCAGTTCAGAACACGGAGCTGAGACTGCATTTGCCACCCCGCATCTCCCATCTGCAAAATAATGATCCCAAAGGATGTCCTAAACCATATATTCTCGTTTTAATTAAAAAAAGAAATATATTATATTTCATAAGTAGGCGCTCTACAGTGTGCTTCATCTCACCAAGTTTTGTTCTGAAACAGAAATGAAAGAACTTCAATGGGAGGGTGTAGGAGTATTAAAAAAATCTCTAAATGTAAAATGATTTGGCTACATTGTTTTCCAAAAACATTTTTTATATAAAGAAATTGCATTTGTCAAGTGCATAAGTTCTTTTGTAGCTGCTTTCCTTTTCCTTCCAGACAGTATACAACACAAACTAAACATATATATAATGACCTTGTTTTCTAACCAGGTAGGTATCTCAGTAAAATTGTGTAATATTTTGTTATAATCTCAAAAAGTCTAAATGCATAGGTTCACATCTTTTTTAAGAGACAACAATATAATTTTTTATAATTGTACCTTTAAAATATAAAAAGGTTAATTATACATGTATGTATTTTAGACATTATATATATTTTAGACACAGACGACGTGTTTCAGGGAGCTAATATCTGAGAGTGGAGTTAAATGTAACTTATTGAATCTCAAAGAAGTTTTAACAATAATAAATATGAAACAGCTCACACTTTTTCTTGCTTGTTTTAAGTTTATTTATACCGGGTGTCGGTTATGCCATATGTCCCAGACTATCGGCATCTGTTACGTCGCTGGCCGTAGAGCCGCTACGCAGGACTTCTCAAGCAGTCTATCGTCATAGAGATCTTTTTCCCAGGGCCAAACTTCGTATTGGTACCTTTTCCGGGAGGCGTCAGCATCTTTTTAGAGCCACAACCTGCGCTGCTAGTTAGGTCGCACAAGCAAAAAAAAGGTGACATAACTAGGTCACCCGTCTTGTGTGACCTATGCACTCTGAGCGACGTAAAGGGATGTCGGAGTCACTTAAAAAATCTGTGTGCAACTCATATCGATATATTTGAAAACATTCGCACTTTCATAAGGCGGTTTATGTCATATTTTTCTTATTAATGTTATAAATAATATTATTTATAAGTTTATTTACAAGATCGATTAACGACTGTTTATATGATGTAGAGGTGATTGTAGCACACTCAATTTCTAGTGAGCGGCTTCAGTCAACTATAGACCGTCAGTCTATTACACCTAGCTGGGAAAGTATTGTAAATCTTTCTGAACGTGTTTACGACAGGACTAATTAATTAATTAATTAATTAATTAAGGTACTAGTTAATAAAATATGTTTTTTTTAAAAACTAATGATAAAACACTTCTAAGCAGCACAGAAGCTACATTTCAAGAATTTCTTTAAAATCTACTTGATGATAAGCCAATGTTCTATCAGAAATCATGCACGAAAAAGGCGCTTGTTCACAATCATGAACATTTTCTTTACACATGGGTATTCAAAGACAAAATTCAGACAAGTTTTCATTATAAAAATACTTTATTTATTGTTTTTTATTCATGCATTAAATTGTAACAAATGTAAATTGTATGAAGCAATAACTACATTATTAAATATTCGTAATAAAACTTGTGACCTCCAAACTAAATCATGAATACTACACTAGATCTACCCTAATGATGTAATGAAATAAAATACATTAAAAAATATTATTGAAAAAATACATTATGTGACAAAAATGTCACAGCAGTTTGAATCTATAATTATTACTTTGATGTAAATGTTTAAACTGATTTATAAAACATCACCTTCAACAAATATACATGCATTATGGGTATAACATCTTGATAAACAATACATTTATAATGACTGAGATATTTTCTTTTAATGATCAGGAAAAAATCTTTCAAAAGTGTTGCAGATGATAATAAAATATTCTTTTAACCGTGTCATATTATGTATCGTCTTGGCAACTTTAAGATGTTTATTTTTTAAACTCATCTCTCCACTTAACCCAAGACAACAGCTAACATATAATTCTAGAAGTAAAATATTCTATAAAATTAATAAACCAAAAATTCGTAAATACATAAAGGAAAAACAATAAAAAATCACAAGGGTTTTAAACATCATTTCCTGAAAATTTAAAATCTATCTGATCACATATTACCAGATGTTTTCCTCCATAAACTTGAATTCGTATAAATAAGCAATTATTATAATGAACTTTGTTGATGCATGTTTGCTAATTTATTAACATGGTGAGATGGAACATATATCAACCTTTGAACATTGTGAAATATACAATTGTGTTTAAAGGCATGCTATGTTAGCTAATTCTGAATCTGAGAACATTGAAGTCAACTTCAATTACAAATCAAACCAAAGATTTAATGTTGACAAGCATGGAATGGAATTAATCATGCAAAATTATGTTGAGAAATCGGAGGTAAAAAAGCAAAAGATGATGATGACAACAATAAAGCAAAATAACATACAGTTTTATATTATTATAAGATAATAACCTCAAATAAACTTTCACAACCAAATGGCACAAATTTTACACTGGATTATACAAACCTTTTTTCAAAACATATTGATTATTGTGACACTCTTTGTTCAATAAAAAAATGAAAAACAGATTTTTCAGAAAATAAATTTTCAATCTACAAGTGAAAATATTCAATATTTAATATTTGCTTGCATAGTTAAATTGTCTTTAAAACAGAACATCAAGTGTAATTTGTTACAAAAGAAATGCACAGTATTTAACAGGCATACAATAAAGTGTATATATAAAGATATATAGTCGGCATGTACTTGAAAGAACAAATTGTTCCAAAATACTTATATGAATATGAGAAATATGTTTGTATATTTCCTAAATTGTGGATGACATGTGCAAGAAATCAGTGCTAAATGTTTTAAAATTCTACTTAAAATATCAGCATAATATTTTGTTTGAGAACATTTGATTCTGTTTACAAAAAATATTCATGTGTGTGAAAGACACTTTATGTCCCAAAAATGCTATTATTTTCTTTTCTTAAAAAACTTTTCCTTCTTGGTGTCAGACAAAAGTACTTATTAGCATGATAAATATGAACTGTCATTTACTTAGTAAATTTAATTAAGTGTACTGTATTGAAGTCAAAGTATTGCTACCTTTATTACACATTTAGCGCTACTTATTTCTGATCTTAAGCATCTTATATACTTAAATTCCACTATAATTTAGACATTACTAAACACATGTTTGTCCCTTCTTATGAAAACCATTCATTTCTGAGGCATAATGTGCCTTTTAATAACAGGGACATTCTGTTACTGTTGATAAGATTTATAAAATATTTCATGAGTTTTATAAAATATTTCATAACATATATGTTTAATACACTTTAAACGTGTAAGTACATATATTAAATACATATCTTTCTATTGCATTTAACTATAAGTCATTT